TAACTCTATAAAAAAAATCTCTTGAAATTGTTTGAAAAATTCTGAAATTATCCAATTTTTTGTTCAGAAAATCGACTCCATTCTGAACATTTTAAAGGATTTTATTGGATGTTTATGTTTTTATACATTTATCATAAATTTTTAAGCATTTTTTATATGATAAATTTTATTCAAAAATAATCTATTTTTACATACCATACAAACATCGATATGAAAACAAACCCTGTTCGGAAAATCGACTCTGTTCCGAACATTTTTTGGACAATGCCTACAAAAACTGAACAAACTTTTTTTAGGGTAATGACCTCCGTACATAGTAATTCTGTCTCTTAATAATGGATATGGTAAGAAAAGACTGATCCAGTGGAAGTGGATTTTTAATCTCACACCAATTCAGCTCTAACTGACCTCAATTCGCTACTCAACCCTTTCCCAAATAAATTTGCCATTTTATAGCTATAAAATATCACATAGTCATGTTTATAGTCGACCTACGTTATGCAGGTGAGAAGCCATCGGCCAGCATTAGCTGCATAAACTCAATTGCAGTTTTAACAATAAAATTCATATAATCATAAAGAACGTAGCGATTTTTTGATTTTTTTTTTTTGATTTTTGCTTTTCTCCTGCGTCCCACCTGATCTGGAAACCTGATTTTAAAGTTACTGGCGATTTTTGAAAAACTTTGAAAATTTTATGCTACGCCATAATTTGATTGGTAGACGAGGATGGCATTTAAAATGTCTAATCAGAACTGTGGAGAGAAATTAGGGATCCCCAAGTAATGTAATAGGGGCGCCGGTGGTGCCCCATCTTCGCTTGTATAATATAAAACGTAACATATAGGCGGATCTGCGCAGTCTAATAAATATAGAAACTAATCAGTTACAATTCTGGTCAAAATTGTCGATCATTTGGCCAAAATTTAAATTATTTAACTCTAGTTCTGGCCGAGTGATCGCCAATTTTGGCTGAAATTATAACTGATGGGTTCTTATATTTTTAGACTGTGCAAATCCGCCGATATAAAATTTGAAATTAAAAAATTTTAAACAAAACATTGTTATAAACGTGTCTAAGAATAGATTTATACTAAAGAATTGAAAAAAAGTAAAGCGATTCGTTCTAGACATCTAAAAAATGCACGTCGTTCTTCACTATTGAAACTTATAGAAAAATGATAAAACAATCTAATTTCTCCTAAGAGTGAAATAGTGATGACGTGGCACCGTGTTCTCCGTAGTGATGCCTGACGAAACTATTTTCGTGATGACGAAATGGTTTCGTCATGGTTTCGTCTGACGAAACCCTTGGCGATTGACGAAACCCCTGACGTTTGACGAAACCCCTGACGTTTGACGAAACCCCTGACGTTTGACGAAACCCCTGACGTTTGACGAAACCTTGACGATTGACGAAACCTCTGACGATTAATGAAACATTGACAAATGTAATTTAAACAAGACAAAAAGTTCGAAACCTTTTTTATGGCACTTGTATATAACAATATGTATGCATGTTTATATGAAAATCTACCAATGTGATCACTGTGATTGTGCATACGCACTCTAATTAGCTGGAACAATACGTATATGTTATGGTCCATGAAGTGGACAATGGTGATGTTACACGAACTATTGGAACGTTCCAAACTATGTGATGAACGGTTTCAGCAATAACAATAAAGTGGCAAATACCAAACTACGTGATGAATAATTTCGTATGAGGTATTTACTGCTTTATCGTTATTATTGAAACCATGTGATACTATTTACCACATGGTTTGGGATGTCGGGTAACATCGCTAATAAGGTAACATCGCTAGTGAACAATAACTAAAAATCAAACCTAGATCAAATGATCAGAATGGCTATTTCATCATTATTCATCATCTGATCTAGATTAGATTTTGGTTATTCTTATGCATCCTATTACAGTTTTTACCAATTGTGCATCTGTAGGGTTTAGTTTCGTTAAAAAATTTTTCTAGTTCCTATCATTATTGTTATTAAACCATCTTTAATCTTATACAAATTTATTTCAAATGAATTTTAAAATAGAATACATGGCTGCTCTCAATAAGAGAATTAACTATAGTGTAGGATAGTTATAACTCATCAGGTTTTAACTTAGTAGCATCGACAGAACAGATTTTCATTGATCGACATAAATTGACCAATCAGATCTTGCTTATTCTGTACCAAAATTTTTTCACTAATATGCGGGTGGCTTCATAAATGATCTTGTATTCTAATTAGTGAATTGGCTTAAATCCTTACAGTAGTAGATCAACCATTTCACCAAAAACTCATATTTGTTAGCTTCATATTTTTATTGAAGGTAATTTATGCCAATTAATGGTGTCTGACGAAATTATTTTTGCAATTACGAATGGGATATTAGTATTTAAAATTTTCTTGCTAATAACTTTTACTTAAAACGTCATGGCGATAAGAATTTCGATTTCTTGCATTGTTTACATTTGTTTGTTACACAATATCCCGGAATTCTATTGGTTCCGATGTAGATCGAAAATGATCTTCAGACCGGAATTTGCGTACCCGCATGGGTTTCGTCATAGGTTTCATCAATCGCCATAGGTTTCGTCAATCGCCATAGGTTTCGTCAATCGTCATAGGTTTCGTCAATCGTCAATTCGACATTTAGAAATCAGCTTGACGAAAGGTTTCGTCATACGTCAATGACGAAAGTTTCGTCATTCGTCAGGCATCATTAGTTCTCCGAGCCAAATTGGAATCGTAAGGGCTCGAAAATCACATATCAAACTACTTAGGTTACAAAAATTCAAATAACTGTATTTCGGCGTGGTTGGTTAAAATTTTGTAGAACTTCCATTGCTCGATTTGGTGCATTGATCAGCTCGGAGGTGACGGCACCTCCCCTAATCACTAAATTCAAAAAATTATATATTACACATAATTTTGATTTACATGGGTTGACGGTCTACCGACACTATAGATGGGTGACGAAATTATTTACGCAATGACGAAATTGACGAAATTGACGAAATTATAAGTGACGAAATTATTTTCATAGTGACGAAATTGACGAAATACTTATTTCGCCAAATTTCGTCAATTTCGTCACCCTTCACTAACCGACACAGCGCTAATTCTGCTGTACTTTACCTAATGCTGGTCATACTATATATGCGATGATAATGTTGGCCGTGTGGCGCATCTAAGATCATGTGTTCTCTGTGTCGGTAGACCGTCTCGGCTGACTTCCCCAGTATCGCTAGCAAAAATTTCACACCCACGAAAAAATTCTTTAAGTTTGTTAATGTTTGAGTTAGCACCCAGATTAGGGTTTGAATTTAGGAAATAGATAGTAAAATCGTTTAAGAACTTGTTAGTGCACGAAAGTGGTTTTTTAATGCAAATTCTTGAGAAATAAGCGATTTTTGACAAAAAAGACGTTTATTTGGAATTTTTCTGATCACATAGGGGTGAATTTTGATGGCAGGGGTAGTTCACTGAACACGTTGCATTACACCTAGGGGTGAGGTTATACAGGTATAATAGAAAATGGTAATATAATACCAGGCATAATGCGTATACGTAGATATAGCTCGCTGGGCAAAATGCGCATTTGCCGATCATCATGCAGTGAGGTATGCGATTACAGCAGGGACAGTGCCCGATCCAAAGCGAATCCCTCTCGCCTGTGATCAATCACAAAGTAAATTATTTATGTTGGATTCAATTGTGATGGATATAATCCTTCACCGTTTTAATATGTGTAACATTAATGGTCCCTGCTGCTGCTATGCGACATCATAGAATTTACAAATCTAATTAAGATTACAGTCTATAAAAATAAAATTATAATTTTTGGATTCCTCGCAATCTTCTCAATAACAATTTAGGGTCTTTTTTTTTTTTAATTGTTGCTTATTTTTTTCTTAATTTTAGCTATTAATCATAATAAAGCTAAAAACAATGACTCTATATTGTTGTAGAGTACCTAACGAGGAATTCAAAATTTATCATTTTATTTTTATAGACGGATTGGTTCAGAAGTTTTAGGGAATAGAAATTATATAATTTATATATTAACTTCAAATCCCTAAAACTTCTGAACCTGTGCGTCTATAAAAATAAAATTATAAATTTTGATTCCTATACAACAATATAGAGCCATTTTTTAGCTTTATTATGATTCATAGCTAAAATTAAGAAAAAAAAATAAGCAATAATAAAAAAAAAAAACCCTAAATTGTTATAGAGAATATTGCGAAGAATCCAAAAATTATAATTTTATTTTTATAGACTCACTGGTTTAGAAGTAATAGTGATTTGACGTTAACATCTAAACTATAACCAGAAAAAGATCCGAATATACGATTTATCATAGTAAGCTTAAATCCTATGATGTCGCATACCCCAATCATGCAGACGACCATATTAATAACGATAATGAACACCCCAATATAACGTGATCTGCATGTTGTGTTATCAACACATGTATGTGGCCCAGTTCGTAGTAAATTGAACTGACCAATCAGATGCTTTAAGTGTACAAACGGACAGACAGACATTAAAATTTTAGAAGTATAAACTTCAATGACTATACTGACAGGACAGAATGCTGCACATATAATAGTGATATCAGGATGTAGATGTTATATCAAACACCAAGTCTTTTTTAATATTGAAGTCAATAAAGCAAATAGAACTATTATACTATATATGTATATATATGTATATATCTTTATTTTTATTATTAAAGCTTAAGTTGTATGGTAAATTTTATTTAAATTCAATAAGAAAAGCTATTAGTATATCTATAATACCGATAACAATTTATAATTAGATTATACTAATAATAGATTTCTATCGAACTAATAAAAAAACTTTTGGGCCCAAAAAAAATCGAAAAATTACGGTTTTGTAAAACTTAGTTATTTTATCTTAATGAAAAATTTAAATTTCCCCGGAGAAATGCATCTTAAAAAAGTTCATATTTAATAGTTTATGTTAATAGATTTCGAATAATTCTCTTAATAGGTGTTCGAAAGATACGTCTTGATTAAGGAAGTTGTCGTGTTTAACATATGAGACACGTTCTCTCATATGTAGAGGTTCGGGTGAACATTCAGGATGCTGTTCGCTGCCGTTTGATTTATTGGAATTTTTTGGTTTGTAATCGTAAGGTTTAAAACGAATCCTCGATTTCTTGCGTACACTGCCTATTTTATATGCTTTACGAATGGACTTTACCAGCTCTTCATCATTTTTTTTAATGTCAGACCATAATTTTTTAGAGATCTCAGACATAAACACCCATTCGGTGTTTAATCCTAAAGCCGAAATACATTGTTGAAGTTTCGACCGAAATAAGATAAAGTAATTCGGCGTACTTTTGGACTCGTCATTTAACTGTCTGATATATTCAAGGTCAGGAATTTCAAACTTTACGTACAATCCAGAATAAATCACGTGGTATTCCTCCCCACATTTGGCGAAAGAGATGGTGTGTTTAGAGACTGTTGATTCTCCAATAATGAAGTGATTAGGTGGGGGAGAACTTAAGGTCAGCGTACAGATCATTATCGTTAAAAAAGAATTTAATGGGTTTACCAAAAAGCAAGCAGAAGAGAAATTAACGCATTATATAAGAAATTTCATCATTTAGAAGATTTCTATTGTCGGAATCGCTACTCCAGTTATGAACATTAATTACATTAATTTAAATGCTAAATTAAATAGCTAGCATTATTTTTAATAATCAGATAAAATTTTTCGGCAATGTCCACAAAGATGAATGCATTGTTATAAGGTAAAGATTCATTAATATAATGTATTACGTAATTCACACGTTATTCACATAGGAATTTGTATAGAGACATTTATGCCAATAATTTTATATAACTATTTTTATTAGCATTGAGTATATACAAGGATATCGGATCTTGTCAATATAAGTGATCCCATATTTATAATTGATTGATTAACAATGGAATTTATTAAAGAGATTACTCATACTGCAAGAGATAAAGTGAGATAATTCTGGTAGTTTTTTTAATGCTGATACAATCTCTTCTGTTATACAATGTTATCGTGCATGTGCCTTCATAAGCCACATTATTAACATTTGCACGAATCAAGTTGGTAAATGATAAATAATGAGATAAATATGTTAAGATCTTTGGCTGTTTTTGTACTCAACTGCGCAAACTTTGAAAGAGGAATTCGGAGTTCATTATCCCTGGAATTCTGTGGATAACTTTATTTCGAAACGCAGTAGTTTCAAAGCAGTGTACAATTAATTACGGTATATTGCTATTTTTATATCGTTTTTTTATTTTATTTTTATTTTTATTTTTTTTAATTTTATTTTTTTTACACGCGTTAACTACTTATGTGTATATGCAATTCAATTTTTCATTCAATCATTGTATAACGAGAACTTCAAAGATTATTTATTTTACCATATTAGTTAAAAGCGTAAATATGTAAGTAATTCCTATTTTGGACTTTTGCAAAATAATGAGTAACTGATTATAAATGTGTTTTATTTTTTATCGAAATTTGGAAAATTACATAGCGTTTTTACGGAAAGTAGATTCAGATCTATCAATAGATTTGCACTGAAAATTACTAAAAGTTGATTGAAAAAACTATAGTGAAATTGCGTAACTAAAATTTGTTCAAGTTATAAGTTTTAAATCTAGCAATTCAATTGAATAAATTTTGTTCAATGATAATTTCACATTACGTATGTATGATATCTTTGTGTTACCATCATATTCTCATACATGTAATGTGGATTTAGGATCTAGGGTTGTCCCTAAATTTGATTTTGCTATCGTATTTTATTTCATTAAAATTTATAAAGATTATCATTGGTGTTATCAATTGCCATATTCGTACATACTTATGTTACACACACTATATAATAGACGTTCACACCTCAGTGACCTGTTTTAAATCTTAAAATTTGGCAAAGGTTTAGTTTCAAGGCAGAGGTAAAGATTTAGTAAAAAGTGTTTGTACCAACAGTTGCAATTTTTTTAATACAATTGATATCAAAGTATATCAAATACAATCATTTATCACGAAAAATTCGCTATGGATGAACAAAAAATAACCGTCAAATATAATAAAAGAAGGGTAACCCTTGTTTAAAATTTTTTATCAGGAGCATGCAACTGATTGGATGTGGCGTGAATAATTATATAATTTACGCCTTCGGAAATAAGATTTCCGCACTGCCCAAAATGATCGACGAATAACTCTCTAGTTAGCGTGATCTACATATCCTGTGATATCAATATTTGTACATTGTAATTATAAAAAGTTTGCTTAATTTAAGCATAAAAATACGCGGCTGTGCGATGGTACATACCATAAAGAACATAGCACGTGCTTAAACCGAAGAAAATAATAAAGTAAACAAGCATTTATCTGTCTCGTTGCTAACTATGAATCTTTTTAGACAGCCTAAAGCTGGTTAGTATCTACATTTATATTTTACACGTGGTTTTGATTTATAACTCGATTAGCGCTTTAATGCTGCGCAATTAATTTTGGTTTTTTTTTTGTTAAACACATAATTCTATGTGATTCGTAGTTTTT